GCTGGCCTAGAAGACGACGCGCGAGCCTCGCCGCCCACCCCGCCTGCGACTCTGCGAGCGCCGGCGCGCGCGGGCGGGCGCCGAATCCAACGGCCAAGTCGCTGGCGGACGGTTGCGATGGATAATTCCAGACCTGGGTCCCGATCAGGAGCTCTGCTGTCGAACGACGACGCGGGCGCTTGCCCCGTCTCCCAGGCCCCGAGACGGCGCCGAGGCGCCGCCGCCACTGCCGAAGTTGGGCGCGAGCGGGCCCGCGGCCAGATCTCTCCTCGGGGGCCGCTATGACGACTTTCCCTGAGAGCGCGTGGCGCCGAGCCCAGCTGGGAATAGCGATGGCGCCTGCAATTCTCATTATGCTGCGCGCTCTTGGCCGCTCGTCGCCGTCGGATTTTCCGCGCTGGCCGCTGCCTGCGCCCCGCGCTCGCTCCCGGGCCCGGGGGCTGCAAGACTGGCGAGCCAGCCGCGCGTCGACGGCGGCGCCGGCAATTCGCGGCCGTGGCTGCAGCGCGCGCGGGGCTGAGCGCCGAGCTCCTTGTCGGCCAACAGGAGACCTCGCCCCCGCGGGTAATCTGACCAGCGGGCGCGCTCGGCAACGGCGCTTCCCGCGGCTCGTTTGGGCCCCCGACAATCATTGATGATGCGCGCAAAATCACGCCGTCAAATCGGGCGCGCCGGGTCGCCGAATCGTGGGCCCCCGAAATCCGTTGGAATATAAACCATGTCAGAGACGTCGCAAACTTAGTGCCGCTCCTAAACGCCCGCGCCATCGGCCGAGCACGTCGGCGCGCTTTGAAACTGGCTCCGCTCTGGCTGAGGACGCGCGGCGCCGCGCGAAGCTGACTGCATGGCCGCAGCTGGCGAGGCCAGCGGCTCGCGTCAAACGCGTGCCCGAGGACACGGCAACGCCGATGTCGGATTTCCTGGCGCGGCGAAAAGCTTCGCGGACAACGGAATCACCCGGTGCGGCGGCGCCCCAGGCCCGCGCGGCATCTGCCGACCACTGCTTTGACATGTCGCGCCTTGCATGAGACCGTGGCCGATGACCCTGCCGCCCCCGTCCTTTCTCGCGGGCTACTGTTCACTGGCAGCCCGCGCTTGCCCTGCCCGAGCCATGGCGCACTTGCACGCGGGGCGAAGATCGCAAGGGGGCCCGGGCGCTGAGTCTGGCGCGTGCTCAAAAACGAAGTGCACGCGCCGATCGAAGCCTCGGCCTGCCGGTGGGCGCTTCTTCTCGAGAACGCCCTGGAGCTCGCGGGCAGTCATATGCCGGGTGACCGGGTGTCATCTGTGACTGCCGCGCCGCGAACCTGTTCGGCAAGCATCAAGCCCCTTCCGTAGAAACGAAATCCTCCGCCCAGAGATCGTCCGAATCCCCTTCTTCGGGGTCGATTGCGCCGCTGATTTGCAAGCGTTCGAGCTCCATGAGTTTTTCCTCTTGCAGCGGCCGTGGCTTCAAATTGCGGAAGACGAACCCATGTTTGGTCATGCCCATGGTCCAGTGTTCCAACCTGATGCATGCCCCTGTGCTGGGCCCGTCTGGTACGCGCTCGGCCCAAGACGACGGCTCTCCTAGAAACTCAACGCGCCAAGACTGTTTCGGAATGCGTAATAACAGCACAACGCGAGCCGTATCCAGGGAGTCCCACCGCCAAATTAATACCTGCACAAACGAACTTTCGATCTGCATGCAAATGTCTTGCCCTTCGTCGATGTTATCATATACGCGCTACAGCAGGGCGTGCGCGAAGCCCTTGAGCTTGTTGCAGCGGCTGCCCTGCGATGGCTGGTCCGCGAACACGAAGTCCGCGTAAATAACCAAAGGGATTTTTACCCGACCGACGGGCGGTGATCGTTCGCTGTGCTGCCTGGGCCAGCGATCATGGCTTTCTAGATGCGCGGCCCGCTGTCGAAAGGAGCGCGACTGCGCGATGGCTAGCCAAGCGTTGTCCACATCTTGCAGCGCGGTACCCAATTGAACTAAACGGCGCTGGGGGTTTGGATTGCAGAAGAAGATATAAGAAACCTGGCAGGCGCTGCCCGGGTGCATCTCCATAAGCCGCCTCGGGGGGAACTTTATTCTCGGGGTTGGGGAAGGATCCTAGTTACGATGGATCCCGTTGGACCCTCGGGGCAATTGGAGTGTTCTGACGGTTCGGCCTCGAGGCCCCGCTCGACGTCGTACTCGAAACGGTCCCCTGCACATGCTTGTGCACGTCGCCTGCCGCCAAGTCGATCATCCAGCGCCCGTGCCTATCTTGTCGAAGTGCACCAGCCACACCAGCACCTTCTCGCGATCGTGCGTATACGTGCTTCTCATCGAACCGCAGGAGAAACCGCCCCCCGCAGGCATTCGATCTGACTGGCTGGCGCAGCGCGAGCCCGTCGGCCCCCGCAGTTCGATCTCGGCGCACAGCGCTCAGATCAGCGCCGCGAGCCCCACGATGAACCACGACCTCGTCGCCGGCAGGCAGCCCGCCCACCAGGGCACCTCCGAACACACGGGGCAGGCGCAGCTCGCCCTCCTGCCCACGGGCGCCTGGCCCAACTCCGCGCCGGCGCCGCGCATCGACTAGCTCGCGCCGTCTCCGAGCGCGGGTGCCCAGTTCCTGAGGAGCATGGCACCGCCACACGCCCGAGCAACCATAATACGACAGGCGCTAAGAGATCAGACGTTCAGAGGGTGCTCGCAACCCCGATAACGACGACAAAAATGATGGTAATGGCGGCGAAGACTACGACGAAAACGGCGACGATGACAAATAATCAGGGGGACAAGCCGGAGGAGGAGGGAGAAGGATCACTGGGGCTCTCGTTCTCCTCCTCCTCCTCCTCCTCCTCCTCCTCCTTCTTCACCTTTTACTCCCGCTCATCCTCGCTCTTCGCCATCCTCCTCCTCCCCCGCCTCCTCCCTGATCCCCGCCATCCTCCCTCTCCCTCCGCCGTTTCCTCAAGGCACATACGGTTGGCGTTGGAAAGATGGCGTGCAGCATCGATCTCCGAAAAGCTAGCTGTCCCTTCGAGGCAACACCCCCATGCGAGGGACCATTCTGTGCACGCCATCCCTGTGCCAGGGCTTCTTCGGTGAACGCTGTCCCCAAGGTTCGCTGGGCTGGGTCCTGTTGGGGGAAACTGCCCGTGGAGGAGGAGGAGGAGGAGGAGGAGGAGGAGGACGAGGAGGAGGAGGAGGAGGAGGAGGAGGAGGAGGAGGAGGAAGGGAAGGAGGAGGAGGAGGAGGAGGAGGTAGGGGATAGCGCGTGTGATAAGCAGGCCGCCCATGCTTCGCCCGACCGCTTGTTGGGGACTCAACTCGCCGTAGGCCAAAGCGGGCCAGTGGCGCCACATCACACGCTATCTCCCCGACGCCAACCGTAAGGGAACACTGCCTCCTCCTTCTCCTCCTCCTCCTCGTCCTCCTCCTCCTCCTCCTCCCTCCTCCTCCTCCTCCTCCTCCTCCTCCTCTCCCTCCTCCTTATCCTCCTCCTCTCCTTCTCCTTCTCCTTCTCAATATCCTTCTCCTCCTCCTCGCCCCTTAAGGGAAAGCCGATGACTCAACGAAACAACTCGGAGGTCCGCGCGGATCTCTCGGATCGGCGCTGGACCCACCTCCCTGGCGCGCGGAGCGAGCCAGGGGTTGCGCTGGAGGCGCCGCCAGGGGGGCCCAGCGCCAACCTGAGGAATCTGAGCGGACCTCCGAGCTACGATGTTTATGTCATTGCTTGTTCCCCTATCCTTCCTCCTCCTCCTCCTCTTCCTCTTCCCTCCTCCCTCTTCCTTCTTCCCTCTTCCCTCCTCTCTCCTCCCCCTCCTCCCTCCTCCTCCTCCTCGTCCTCCTCCTCCTCCTTATCCTCCGTTCCTTCTCCTCCTCCTCCTCCTCCTCCTCCTCCTCCTCCTCCTCCTCCTACCCCCACCCCCTTCTCCTCCTCTTCCTCTTGCTCTTCCTCCTCCTCCTCCTCCACCTCCTCCCTCCTCCATTCGTTTTTTGTATACATAATTCCTCCCTGTCGTACGCCGAGGCCACTCGGAAGGGCGGGTCGGGCGTTTCGCCTGAGACTTCCTCAACACTTAGGATCCTGAAGGTAAACATCTGCAACAATTTAACGGATGAAGGGCGGGTCGTTTTCAAAATGTTGATCTCGCCTTCGCGCCGCGCACATCCGTCCGTAATGTTTGCAAGGGTTTCACGGAATGGAGGCAGGTCGTTGTCAGAAGATGGCTCTCGGCTTAGTGCCGCGCAAATTCTTCTGCACATTTGCAAGGAGCTTCACGGATGGAGGGCGGGTGATTTTCAAAATATGGTTCTCGCCGTAGCGCCGCGCGCAATCGTGGTACAACGTTGCAGCAGCTTCACAGATGGCGGCTGCTTTTCAAAATGTGGCTCTCGACTTGGCGCCACGCACATTCGTTTTCAGAGTTTACAGCAGTTTCAAGGATTCTCATGGCTTGCGTCCCAGACATGGTGTTTGGGCACGATGTCGGAGCGCCAGGGCGCAACAATTGCATTGATTCGTGATGTAAAGGAAGTCCCAGGAATAGTGTTCTGGCATGGCTCAGGATCGTCAAGACGTATCAGTAACGGTGATTCGCGGCGTTCACGTCCCAGGAACGGTGTCCTGACAGTTCAAGATTTTCAAATGGTTGTTTTCCAACGGGACCCTTCCTTCAGTGAACATGAACCCTTGTAGGGGCCGGTGACGAGGAACCTTGGACGGACAGTCTGTTGCGACATCGTTGCTGGGCCCTGGGTTAAACTGCTCCTCCTCCTCCTCCTCCTCCTCCTCCTCCTCCTCCTCCTCCCCCTCCTCCTCCTCCTCCTCCTCCTCCTCCTCCTCCTCCTCCTCCTCCTACTCCTCCTCCTCCTCTCCTCCTCTCCTCCTCCTCCTCCTCCCTCCTCCTCCTCCTCCTCCTCCTCCTCCTCCTCCTCCTCCTCCTCCTCCTCCTCCTCCTCCTGCTCTCCTCCTCCTCCTCCTCCTCCCGACGCCAGCCGTGGAGAGGGGCACCGCCGGGGCTGCGAGCGCACGCCGCCAGCGACCGCCGCCCCTCCGGCGTCCTCGCGTGGCGCTCCTCGTGCGCCGGCGGCGGCCGCGGCGGTGCCAGCCTGCGCGAGTCGGGCGGCGCCAGCCTGCGCGCCTCGTGGGGCTGCGGCGGCAGCCGCGCGGGGCGCTGCCTGCACGAGATGGTGGATGGAGGAGGAGGAGGAGGAGGAGGAGGAGGAGGAGGAGGAGGAGGAGGAGGAGGAGGAGGAGGAGGAGGAGGAGGAGGAGGAGGAGGAGGAGGAGGAGGAGGAGAAGGGAGAGGAGGAGGAGGAGGTGGGGGAGGAGGGGGAGGAGGGAGGAGGAGGAGGAGGAGGAGGAGGAGGAGGAGGAGGAGGAGGAGGAGGGGGGAGGAGGAGGAGGAGGAGGAGAGGAGGAGGAGGAGGAGGAGGAGGAGGAGGAGGGGGATGAGGAGGAGGAGGAGAGGAGGAGAGGAGGAGGAGGGGGAGGGAGGGAGGGAGGGGGGAGGGAGAGGAGGAGGGAGGGAGGGAGGGAGGGAGGGAGGGAGGGAGGGAGGGAGGGAGGGAGGGAGGGAGGGAGGGAGGGAGGCAGGTAGGAGGAGGGAGGAGGAGGAGGAGGAGGAGGAGGAGGAGGAGGGAGGAGGAGGAGGAGGAGGAGGAGGAGGAGGAGGAGAGAGGGAGGAGGAGGAGGAGGAGGAGGAGGAGGAGGAGGAGGAGGAGGAGGAGGGGGAGGAGGAGGGAGGAGGAGGAGGAGGAGGAGGAGGGAGGAGGAGGAGGAGGAGGAGGAGGAGGAGGAGGAGAGGCGTCTGGCCCAGGCAGGGAGCCCGACCCTAGGCGTGCTTTCAGAGAGGCCGCGAACGACAAATTCTTCACTACGGCCAAGGAAGCTCCTTGGCATAGGCGCCAGCGCTTGAAGCGCACCAGCGCCCGCCTGATTCTTGCCCTTTCCAAAGCTCGATCCCTCCTTAGGAACCACCACAGTTCCCCAATCTTTGCGATGAATCGCCAAGGAGGCCCCCAGCAGACATGGGACTGCGCGTGTGGCAGGTTTGTCAAGGGCCACCATTGGAAGTGTCTATGTGGTCGTCATTGGAGTCAGCGAGTTGTCCCTCGAAGCCTGATCAGGAACGGCCCCGTGCGTCCAGTCGGACGCGGCAGACCATCCGTCAGGAGCACCAGCAGAAGGAGTTGAAGCGGGAGGAACAAGAGGTGAAGCAGCTTATCGGCAGGGTAGTGGCGATGAAAAGGTCGGAAGCGACTGAGGCAATGCGTTTCCTGGGATATGAGCAGGTCCCCACGGATGTGCCAGGAATCAAGTCTTACAAGACGAGGACGAAGCAGCGCATGTTCGAGTTGGGAAGGCTCATCATCATCAGCCGCAAGGCCGGCAAAGATGATCCACAGGGTTTCGTACGTGAGATATCGTGTCTCAAGTACATGATGAGCACGTGCGAGAAGCTAAATGACCAGCTAGCCGAGTTGAAGTCGAAGCGAGATAGGTGTCAAGAGCACATTCGCAACCTCTCGGTGAAGCTCGGAGAGTTACAGTCCGACTACAAGCAGTCGGAGACGGACCTGTATGCTTGGCAGGCCGCGATAGATGAGTTAGAGGAGCTGGAGGACTACATGGTCGGAGAAGATGCGCCAGGAGCACGTGGTTTCAGCACTTTCATCCCGACGATGCAGATGGGGGCGGATCCACGTACGGAGAGGACGACATTCCCACCGCCGCCACCAGCCCCACAGCCGCAGTGTTCAGGCGGTCCCGTGCCCATGCAGCAGTGCAACATGGGATTTCCGCCTTCCATGCCACCGCCGCCTCAGCAGAGAGTTGCGCCGCCAGTACAGCAGCCGCCAGCACAGCAGCCACCGCCCCCGAGTGCTGAGGTTCAGGCGATCGGGGAGATGATCAAGGTACTCATCAAGAAGCAGCAGCAGACGGACCATCAGATGGCCATGTTGATTGGCCACCTCACGGCGACCAGTGCGAGTGCGTCGGCGGAGGAGTACGAGAGGGCCAAGTCCGAGGAGGGGGCGCACAGCCACCAGCAGCCGCCCATCGAGGTGCAGGCCAGCCCGACGAGCATCCCCGCGGCCCAGCCGGACATGCCCACGCCCGTGGCGGACCCAGGCATCGAGCCCACAGAGGTCGCGGAGGATCCATATGGGACACAAGGGACCAAAGCTGATGCTGAGATGATGCCAGGCCCTCAGGATATGCAATCCCCTTTTTTATCCCCTACCCAGCCCATGCACCCGACCCAGGGGATAGAGGACCCGCTCCTGGCGCCGCCCGTGGGTCCGTCGGTTTTTATGACCCCCCCAGGGGGCAAGAGGAGCCCTTCAGGGCACACAGGGGAATCGCCGCCGAGGAAAGATCCACGGCAGAGCGAAGAGTAACTTTCGGGGAGTGCATGATTAGAGCCTTTCACCCTGGAGAAAAGTTGACCTCCTCCTCTCAGAGTTCAAGGTTTCCGTTTGCCCCCTCTTCTACTTATCCCAGGGAATTAAAATCATGTTTGAAGGCCGATTGTGGATCGCAGGCTCTAGTTTCACAGGCCCCTTATACAACGCAGCGCGAAGTCATCACAGATCCGTCAGTGGGGATCCATAGACGTAGATCTGATGGCCACATGGGAGGGAGTGGGGGGGATCACGGTCGGGGGGAGACGGCACGTGACCAGGCCAGCCTAGTCGATCCTAATAGGGATTCACTGTCCGATGCCCACGAGCTCGGACCACTTTTGTCTACAGTGGAGATTGAGGACCAGCGCCCTTGTTACAGCGAGGAAGTGCAGGAGTCATCGCCACGAGCATCCTTGTCGGTCACTGGGGAAGAGGACATGGGTCATATGTCCCCTCCCCACTTTTTTGAAGCTAGTCCTGATCAATCAGGAAGTTCCGAGGAGCATGCGGGCAGCAGCGAGCCCACAACCTTGCTTCCTTCTCCTCCTACGCACTTGAGGTGTCACTTCGAGCGAGGACCGACCATCCAGGAGCTTGTCACCTCAGTGGCGGCTATGTCTTGGGTATTCGGGCTTCCTCAGGATATACCAGTGGAATCTTCTTGGGCTCTTGGGCTCTGTACTCCGAGGGACTCCGTATGGGACGAGGTCTCGTATTTTACCGATGGTTCGTTGCGACATGGGGATGACGCTTCGGGGGCCTGGGCCGCGGTCCGTATCGGTACAGATCACTTGGGGTGCTCGTTCCAGGGTGTGTGGGCGGCCCCCTTCTTGAGTTCCTTTCTGACCCCGCGCGGACGGGGCGGGCTGGACAGCACGGATGTCGAGTGCGCAGCCGTCGTCTGGGTTTTGATGGCGATCATCAGCGACCAGCACCACCCCCCAGCGGTCATTCACACGGACTCGCAGAACGTGTGCGACTATGTCTACGGTGCAGCTACGGTCTCGGAAAAGAACAAAATTGCATGCATGCTCGTGATCACGTTTGACATAGCCTTGACTCGCGCCAAGGAGAGATGGCCTACACACGACCCTCCCCCGTTGAGGATTTGCCACGTCAAGGGACATGAGGGGCACCCATGGAACTCCCTAGCAGACCACATTGCGGGTCTTGTTGGTTCTGAACAATGGGGGCCATGTTTCGTTCCCCCACTGTGGGCCGAGGCCACCAAGCACGGGCCTGCTCGCGAATGGGAGTGGTTGGTGCGCCCGGCTCAGGGGTTGGCCCAGGCGTACCCCACTCCTTCGGTTCAAGGTTTTAGTGCAACCCCCGTGGCGTCTGAGGCTTCTGACGACCTGGGACATCGGCCCCCGCTCAAGTCCTCCAAAAGCTCCCACGCTTTGAGCATCAAAGTGGCCTCCTTCAATGCCAAAAGCGCAGCTGTTGCCAAGAGGAGGGGCAGGAAGGGAAAGCTCCGCTTCGCTCGCAATTTGGCTATCAAAACCCAGTTTGATCGGGAGGGTGTTTTACTGGCTGGGGTCCAGGAGGCCAGAAACCCGCAGGGCGTGTACTCCTCTGGTGCGTACTTTGTGCTTTCTTCGGGGCACGCGTCTCACGAGCTTGGGTGTGAGCTGTGGGCTAATACTAGGATTTCGTACGGCACTTGCAAGGGGAAACCCCTGTTCCTTGAGCGAAGGCACTTTCGTGTTATTTCCGCCAGCCCCCGATGGCTCCTGGTTGCCTTGAGTGCTCCTGGGTTAGTTTGCAATCTTCTGGTCGGGCACGCTCCTCACTCAGGCGCTGGGGCTTCTGAGAGGGCTGCATTTTGGGACTCGATCCAGGGGCTGCATGACAAGTGGGGTACTGATATGTGTTTTCTGGATGCCAATGGCAGGGTGGGAAACCTGCCATCGGACGCCGTCGGGAGCGCCGGCTTCGCTCAGAAACAGGATGAGGGGGGAGAGCATTTACACACCTTCCTGCTCGCCTCAGAGCATAGAGCTGTCAACACATGGCTTGGCAGTCCAGACGATTGGACGTGGCAGTCGCCACAAGGACAGAGGCATCGGATTGACTATGTCTCAGCGAAGACATGGCTTGCCAACCACGCCCTCACATCCGACGCGTTTCATGACATTGACAAGATTACGACACATGTTGACCACCAGCCAGTGATTGCCACGTTTGCGTGGCAGGCAGTTCAGGTACGCCAAATATCGTCAGGAAAGAAGCTTGACCGAGAGGCTTATAAGGACCCTCTGAAGCTCGAGGTTTTCAAGCAAGAGCTTCGAGGGATCTCAGTTGTCCCCTGGCAGGTCCCTGTCTCAGAGCATCACGTATGCTTGTCTACTGGGGTCATGAGGGCTGCATCGAAGGCTTTCGGGGTTGCCCCTCGCAGACCTAGGCAGCCGTATGTCTATCAGGCTTCGGTTGATCTTATCACCGCCCGTAGAGGGGCCACCAGAGCCTTGAAAAAAGTTGCCCCCTTTCTGGACCAAATAGGGCCTCTTCACGGTGATGCGCTTTCCCACTTTAGCGGCAGATGGTTATCGGGGAATATCCTTGGGCTTGCTATGCAAGAGGGAGCGCATTTCTGGAGGCCTCACTACGATCTTATGGCTCAGGTGTTCCGAGGATGGGCCTCTGGCAGGCTTAATTGCTACGCTGCAGTGTTCGGGCTTCAGCGTTTTCTGATTGACACCGAACAGCTCTTGGCCGAGGCATTGGAGCAAGACAGGTGCAAGCACCTTGAGGCCCAGGCGGACACG